TCAAAACTTTGGAGCTCGATCCGTGAAGGGGGTGATTCAACAATTCATTGAGAATGAAATTGCTATGGAAATTATGAGAGGAGAATTCATAGAGGGAGACTCTATCATTGTCGATGCTGATGTATCCACGAAGCCTCAAGACGTTCCACCCCATGGTAGATTGCTTATCAAGAAAATGGACAACAATGTTGCATTGGGTTGCATGGTTGGTTGCGAGTAAAAGATGTTTTCATTGAGAACCTTGTTTGGATTGCGGTTTTTCGTCAGAAAATTACGTCGTTTTCCGTGATCACATTTCCCTATTACCTTTTTTCCTCACATACATCAAATCACTATAATAATTTTTTCATGAAAAATCATGAAAAATGCAATCCAAAAATCTTTCATGGATAGCATCTCTTTATTCTTTCCTATCAGTTAGTTCTATCATTTCTAAGTGTCTTACAGACACTGAAGTCTTCTAGCTATGGATGTACATTGAACTTTCCGTAATTGCAAATTTTTTTCCTTCATTAATTTCTGCTTAGAATGTTCAATTGCTTGAAGCTCACAAATGCCATTGATCTTCAGACAATCAATTTCAGAAACTAAGAAGCTGTATTTTTTCTCAGAGACCCATTGCAAGTGTAGTTGCAGAAATCTTACAACAAAGAAAGCAAGAAAGTATAATTTTGTTTGATCACCTATATAATTGGTAGTTTGCATTTCAAAAAGTCAGAGTAGCTGAACAAACAATGCATATTGAAACCTGACAGATTCATCTGGTGAAAAGGCAGACACCAGTTTCATACATTGAAAACTTGGCAATTTCCTCCAAGTTGCAAAGGGGACTATATAGTCCTTCTTGCCTTGTGTCCACCTGGGTCATCTTGCCCAACACTACCTGTTGGATTGAAAGTTTATAGTTCCTACTAATGCTGTATGCTAATGCAGTGAGTAGTCAATTTCCGTATCTGTTGTTGAAATTTCCTGATTATCATTGTACTGGAATCTGAAATTTAATCAATAGTGCCTATCTCACGTGCAGTGAGGTCTCTTTCCTTGGGAAACTGAAAATAGTCTATCCAATTCTAGTGTTTTCAATCGGAAATTTGTGCATTTTCAGAAGGTTTGCTAGTAGCTTTGGACTGCATTTTTCTGGATTTTTTTGTAGAAAAATTATTGTAGCGATTTGATATATGTGAGGTAAAAAGGTGATAGGAAAATGTGTTCACGGAAAACGTAACAATTTTTCTGAGGAAAATCGCAATCCAAATAGGGCCTAAATCCTCTGAGACAATTCGTATTTCTGGAGCTTCTCCTGTTGAAGGATCTTTCTAAGTTCAACATCAATGGAAGCCTCTATCAGTATATTCTGTATATCCATTGGCGTCAGTGCTTTTCTATTTATAGCATTCACGTCAACTATATATAAATGTGTGTGTGTGTGTCTCTGATGGGATTGACCTCGTCAAGCATGAACTCTACAGTCTGCAGAACATTTCCATTTCCCAGCTTTATAAGTGGAATCACACTTGTAATGGATTGTAAAATTAGAAGCATGAATGAAGACTGTATTGCATAGTGAAACATAGTTGATTGTAATAACTTCTCGTAGATTTGCTCGACGAATAAGAAATCTAATTTCATTGCTTGACTATTATGTCAAAGTGGAAATATCACCACAAGAAATTGATGGGCTTGATGTAGCATTACAACTTGGCCTAAAAAAAATCATGTAGACGACCATGAAAAAACCAAAACTCAGAAGTCAAACATAATGTTGGAGCAAGCAAAATCAAATTCATGATCATCAAAGTATGGGATTTTGCATTTGTGATCTAACTACTTCTCGGAAACAAAAGAACCACAAGCATGAAATAATAGGTGTAATAAGCATCTCGAAAACTTGCCCCAGAGGTGCAGTGGAAGACAGTGTTTCCTTCCTTATTTTACCGAATTTACCTACTCTCTCAGGACAATCTTTTCTTAAAGTATTTGACAACTAATTGAAGTGCAGTCTCTCCAAAAGCAATCATATATTTAACAGAATCTGCACGTGCTTTAAACAATTCATTAATATCTTCCACTCTTCCATTCATGGATGTCCTTCCATCTCTTCCGGGCAGAGAAGAAATTCTAGGACCAGAGGATGCCAAAAGCTCTCCTGCTATCTCGAAATAGCCATAAGTAGAGGCTATGTCAAGTGTCTGAAATCCATCTTGGCTTGGTTCTTTTGCTAGTTCAGGCTTTGTTCTGATGATCTCTTGTACACAATGTAGTTGTCCTACCTTTGCTGCAATATTCAGGGGGTTCTTGGATGGAGTTGCCACTGCTAATCACCAAGAGTTAATGGATATTTTCGAAATTTGAGTATATTCAGCTTCTCTTCTTTTGTCCTACTAAATTACTGTACAGTTTAGGAATTAATCATATGTTTAAAGGCGGCTTGCTTGACTGTGACGTGTAAACCTAACGTACAGAAAAGTCTCTCGTAGTTTCAAAACGTACAACATGACACCCCATATTTTGAACTAAATTGTAAAGGTGACGAAATCCGTTAAACTTAGCGGAAATGGAAGAAATGATCAAAATGCCCTGATATAATTAAGCAAAAAACAGCTCAAAAAAATCATTTGTTTTATTCTCTAGATAGAGAGAATTGAGGGTTAAGAGGTAGAACAGGTATATTTGTTAAAAATTAGGTATAAATTTTTTTTTTTTAGGTTCCAATAAGTTATTTCTGTTAAGTTTAACGGATTCCGTCATCTTTACAATTTAGTTCAAAGCATAAGGTGTTATGTTGTATGTTTTAAAACCACATGGAGCTTTTCTATGTATTAGGTTTACCACAGAGGACTTTTTTATTTTTTACCCTACCAAATTGATTATCGACGAAATTAAAGGTTCAAGAAGAATTCTTTGAAAAAGTCAGTGATGGGAAATTTACGTGTAAAATTTTTTTCAACACGTTAAGAGGTAGGAGCTGAAACACGGAAACGAGGACGTGTAGGAATTGAATGCAAATTTTGAAGTCAATTCGTCAAGTTCCACTTGGAAGCTGCTGGAAACACAAGCAAAACCAAAGACTACTACGCAAGTCCAAATTTGATTCCCTAGCATTTGGAATTTGGTCCCTGATAAGGTTAATATTGATTATGTCCTTTTCAGAAAGTGTTAGGAGGTCGAATACAGTGGCTTCAAGGAAAATACAATCCACCTTTATTTTGTCAAAATATAGACATCAGCAATTAATGGAGGAGAGTTAATTAGTAGTATGTAATACCTCGGACGAAGCCAAGGATGCCATATTTTAGTGGCTAAAATTGAAATCTAAAAAATTAAAGGTTTTGGGTTCAAATCCTCATTTTTCGTTCTCGCTTCTTAAATCCTACCTCTCTCATGCTATCAAAAAAAAAAGAATGTATGTAATACCTCAGTTAGTTCAAGATATGCACATTTGCAACTTGGTTCATTTCCATAAATAATGATCCACCTTAGTTCAAATCTGCAACTCCAAAGTATATATTATGCAAACTTGAGTTGCATTCCTTGTTTCTGGAATAATGTTGGGTGAGAATCAGAATTTGGAGGGATTGAGAATCATTTCCCCTCTATATATAATCTGCAAATTTATAGGTAATAAGACAGTGTCATACATTTGTTAGGAAATATCAACATGCTTTGATCATAGTATCAAGTTTCATGCAGCCAAAAACATTTTAAAGTGTCGTGTCCTGAATCCTAATCGTTGAAATTGTTGGAAACTTTTCAAAATTTGTATGATGTACATACATGTAATTAATGTATATTCATTAATTTTTGGTACATGTATAGTATTGTGAATGTTTCTAAAATGTACATTCATTTATAAATGTATTCATGTATATGGGAATTATTGAATGAAAGGATAGATTCATGTTTTGATCTAATGGTCATGAGATGCATGAATTAAAGTGCATGAATGTGTACACAATACTTTGAATTTATTCATACACAATACTTTGAATCTATTCATACAAGTGTTTAATGAGGTCTTTTGTTTCCCAAACAATCTTCCTATATAAAGAGGTCAAGTAGAGAGTGGTTTGCTGTAGAAAATCACTTTCCTACTATCCTTACTCTCTCAAAAGCACTCCTTAGTTCACAAAGGGTTTGTCTTGCTTTGTGCAAGAGTTTAAGACAAACAAAACTTCATCTTATCCTAAAGGATATTTGTCCAAGGTTATTGCACGTTATACCGGACAAATAAAGCCTAAAGGAAAGTGATTTCTATCACGATTTGAAACCAATTCTTGTTACAACATTTGCTAGTCATTTACAATTTACCCAACAGAAATTAGTTGGACCGGAAGTACAATACAGTCTAGTGATTATTATGGATGATGATGATGATGTTAAGCGATATAATAAACTGAATCTCAAAACCCTGCAACAACAACTAGTACTAAGCGTTCCTCATGGAAGGGATGAGCACGAACATTCTTGTACCATGAAAACGATATTGCTTGCAGCTTTGGAGGACTTCCCAATTTTTTATTTTCATGAAACAAATACATTTTGCTCCTGAAATTACGTATTTGTGAAAAGTAGTACTCAACAAGGGAATTATTGGTTTTTTTGAAGAACCACAATTGACCAAAAAATCCAGATGGGTGCGTGGTGCACCCGTCTGGTCCCGTGGTAGTTCTGTCCCCATCGGTCCCCCATAGGTCCAGTTGGGTCTCTCCGTAGTTAGATTAGGATAGAGTAGGAGTAGAAGTAGGGATGACGATTGATAAAAAAAAAAAAAAAAAACAAGGGAGTTATTGGTAACAGGGATGCTTCCTTCTTACCAGCTACAGAGTTGCTTTGCTCAGGATCAAAAAGGATAAGAACCATCTTTTTGTCTCTCATAAAATCTTAATATCTACTCTCATTAGCAAAACTACAATTACAATTCATGTTAAGACAAGAAAATTAAATAAAACAGGGAAATTTCACACACAACCTTCTCCCATTTGACATGCATAAAATTTAATTTATGGAATTAATCTTGGAATAGCAAATATAGATATCAGAAGTTCTCTTTGGAATGGAAACCCTCCAGTGAGATAAATTATGATGCTTAGTGATGCTGTGAGGCCTAAAGAATTGGAAAACAAGAATAAGTAGGAAGTAGCATGTGAGCCAAAGATTGCTGAGGCAGCAGCAAGACCAGAAACTGCTATAGGGTTATACGCAGGTGGCGATGGCAAACCAGCTTGATTCTGATCAGGATTTGGCTGGTTAGGCTTATCTAAGACCCCAGATGGAGGTGTTACCCCTGCCTGAAATGTAACAGTGGCTATCAAGGCAGCAACTACCAATAGTGCATTGCGTGTAGCACTTGGGGAATCTCTTTGGACCTGGAATTTGAAATACTTGAACCAGTCCTTTGAAGGTTGTGACTGATAATCAGCTCTATTCGGTTGATGTTTGGCCTGAGAAACAGAATTTGTTGAATGATCCCCACTAGCATGTTGTAAGATCAATTGTCTTGAACGAAAATCATCCGAACTTTCCATCACAATATCGAGGATATCAGCAGCTGTCACACCCTTGAAGTTCTTGGCATTCACCTTGACAGTTGCATAGATGTCTCTGCTGCTGAATAGTACTTCTATGCACTAGAAAAAGGTATACATCAAACATGAGGCCTTTTAGTAATCAATTAACACTTTGAATGAATTAATCTAAATGGTATGATAGAAAGCTACAAGGACTTAAATCAGTTATAGATCATAGAAGGAATATGAGAATTAGGTCAAGCATACCTCATGTTGCTTTGTTGAAGCAGCAAGGTGCAATACAGTGTTTCCATTGAAATCACGCCAATTTATGATCCAGTGTAGCATATGAATTTCAAGATACTTGACTAAAACTTTAAATGCTTCAAATTGGTAGCATTTTAGAGCCAGGTGAAGTGCAGTTTCCTGACTAAATGTGACATCTTTAAGACAATCAGGGCAGGAGGAGAGTAATTCATCTATAACCTCAACTTTCCCTTTACTAGCAGCATAGTGGAGAGCTGTTCTTTGGCCTTTTCCTTTGAGAAGACATAATCCAGGATCCAACCTCAGAATCTGTTTCACCATTTTGACGTTCCCCATGATTGCAGCTACATCTAGAGGCCGAAAACCACCTCTGTCAAATTCTCTAGCCAGCTTCTTGTTGTGCTTCATAAGCTCAATCACAAATCTCACATGTCCACCTTTAATTGCAACATGTAGAACAGACTCCGGAGGATTACCAAATGCAACATCATCAAGAAGGGATGGATTTTCTTGAAGCAGTTTGTTTAGTATTTCAGTATCTCCCTCGCGAGCAGCATCAATTACCGATTTTTTGCTCTCCATTCCTGAGGTTATTACTTTCTGAAAGAACTAATGATTTTTTTTTTTTTTTGTCAAAACATAGGATGAAAGAACTAATGATCTGACGGGCCGAATTTTTGGGGGAAGGTCATGCACAGCTTTGCATCATTGGCTGATTAAATAAGATGAATTAGTATTTACTTCTACTATACTTTGATGAATAATTCCATTAGAAAATTTGGGTTTAGGAACCAGTAATCCAATCACATTCAAAAGCGTAGTAATTTGCACTTGACATAATCAGAATTGATATTTCCACCAAACATATCGCTGATCAAGGATGTTACAGTTCAAAGACTTTCAGCAGTTGAGCAACCAAATCCATTTCCCATTTATGCATCACTCTCTTGTTCTTGGGAAGATAAACAGAAAAATTACTGCATTTTCAATCTTATATGGTACATGTGTACCTGATAGACACAGAACAAAATAAGACCAAACTACCCTATCAATATATTGATTAATGTCTAAAAACATCGAAGTTAAGTAACATCATAGTTAGTAACATCTCCATGTTATACGAGTTGATGTATGTGCCTGTCTTACAAGGAGAGACAACGGTTTCCATCATTCCAGAAGCAGTTTAGGATCAAGTAACATTTCTTGCTTGCATCTTCTGAAATACTTCTCAGACAATACCAGGTATTTCATTCAACAATAGCTTTTAGAAAATGTATGGCCTCTAAAATTGGATTGGTGACTGCTCAAATGTGAATCGAATCCACGCTTTTGGCCCCTATCAGGTACAACTGCCACGGTTGCTTAGTAGTATACGCTAATTGTATTGTCAAAGCTGAGAATGTGTCAATGCAAAAGAGGTTTGCTTTGATTTAGTATCAAAATACGGCGTTCTCATTACTACATTGAATTTTCAAAGAGAGACTCGCGTGTCACGAACATGTCTTATCACCTGATACACGATACCTAAATTTATTTCTTCATAAAAAGCTACAATAAATTGAATTTGGTAAATCATGGATTTGCTGTAATTAGAACCATTTTAATCTGTGGCATCACGAGTGCTGTAGCCTTAATAACACTACCTTCAATGACAGGAGCTTTTCTATGTATTAGGTTTACCACAGAGGACTTTTTTGTTTTTTACCCTACCAAATTGATTACCAACGAAATTAAAGGTTCAAGAAGAATTCTTTGAAAAAGTCAGTGATGGGAAATTTACGTGTAAAATTTTTTTCAACACGTTAAGAGGTAGGAGCTGAAACACGGAAACGAGGACGTGTAGGAATTGAATGCAAATTTTGAAGTCAATTCGTCAAGTTCCACTTGGAAGCTGCTGGAAACACAAGCAAAACCAAAGACTACTACGCAAGTCCAAATTTGATTCCCTAGCATTTGGAATTTGGTCCCTGATAAGGTTAATATTGATTATGTCCTTTTCAGAAAGTGTTAGGAGGTCGAATACAGTGGCTTCAAGGAAAATACAATCCACCTTTATTTTGTCAAAATATAGACATCAGCAATTAATGGAGGAGAGTTAATTAGTAGTATGTAATACCTCGGACGAAGCCAAGGATGCCATATTTTAGTGGCTAAAATTGAAATCTAAAAAATTAAAGGTTTTGGGTTCAAATCCTCATTTTTCGTTCTCGCTTCTTAAATCCTACCTCTCTCATGCTATCAAAAAAAAAAAGAATGTATGTAATACCTCAGTTAGTTCAAGATATGCACATTTGCAACTTGGTTCATTTCCACAAATAATGATCCACCTTAGTTCAAATCTGCAACTCCAAAGTATATATTATGCAAACTTGAGTTGCATTCCTTGTTTCTGGAATAATGTTGGGTGAGAATCAGAATTTGGAGTGATTGAGAATCATTTCCCCTCTATATATAATCTGCAAATTTATAGGTAATAAGACAGTGTCATACATTTGTTAGGAAATATCAACATGCTTTGATCATAGTATCAAGTTTCATGCAGCCAAAAACATTTTAAAGTGTCGTGTCCTGAATCCTAATCGTTGAAATTGTTGGAAACTTTTCAAAATTTGTATGATGTACATACATGTAATTAATGTATATTCATTAATTTTTGGTACATGTATAGTATTGTGAATGTTTCTAAAATGTACATTCATTTATGAATGTATTCATGTATATGGGAATTATTGAATGAAAGGATAGATTCATGTTTTGATCTAATGGTCATGAGATGCATGAATTAAAGTGCATGAATGTGTACACAATACTTTGAATCTATTCATACACAATAAGACCAAACTACCCTATCAGGTACAACTCCCACGGTTGCTTAGTAGTATACGCTAATTGTATTGTCAAAGCTGAGAATGTGTCAATGCAAAAGAGGTTTGCTTTGATTTAGTATCAAAAGACGGCGTTCTCATTACTACATTGAATTTTCAAAGAGAGACTCGCGTGTCACGAACATGTCTTATCACCTGATACACGATACCTAAATTTATTTCTTCATAAAAAGCTACAATAAATTGAATTTGGTAAATCATGGATTTGCTGTAATTAGAACTAGAGGTGGCAAAATGGGCGGGATTTGATTGGGTTTGAGATGGAACCGAGTCATATGGGTTTGGGTCCAACCTTACCCATACGTGTTTTGGGACTAACTTGGGCGGGATCACTTTGGCATGGGTTTAGATTGATCCCGCCCAATACTCAAATCTGTTTTCTACATATTTTTTTTCCTTTAATTCATTTTTTATTTTTTATATAAATTTAATATTTTTGATTTATTAAATTTCTTTTAGTTTTATTAAATAAACATGCAAGTGCTTTATACTCAAGATTCCCACCAAAAATTGGATTAACAAATAAAGAAAAAAATAGATATACAACCATATTCCAACATATATCAAGATGGTCAAGGTACTTAGGGTGTTGAATATTTATTCTCATCAATGTCCAAGGATAACAGGTCTAAATTGACTGAAATGTTGGAAATTCTTGTGGATAATGACTAGGAAGACTACTAGATTATATTCGTTAGTATGACTATAAAAATTGTTAAAGATAATTTTTGAATCTAAGACTCCGTTTGGATTGGCTATTTTTTCAAAAAATAAGTTTTTCAAATACAATATTACAGTAATATACAATAATTCAAAAAATATCCCATCTATATTAGTATATCAAATATTTCAAAAACACCCCCCAAAAATAACTAATCCAAACGGAGCCCTTGCTATTTGAGCCCAATGGGTACCCAAGTAGTTCCCAAGATTTCCCATTAATTAATGGGTACAATTGGGATTTGTCCCATTTTAAATCCAATATCAAATTTTAGTACCCATCCCGCCCAAAGTCCCCATGAGCATGGGTAACCCATTGGGACTTGGGACAAATTGCCACCTCTAATTAGAACCATTTTAATCTGTGGCATCACGAGTGCTGTAGCCTTAATAACACTACCTTCAATGACAGGAGCTCAATGACTTGAAGCAGAAAACAAATCGTCTACCTGAGAATAGCTAATTAAACAGGTGACTAACAAGAGATGACCAAATTAGGAAGAGTTCGAGCAAATGAGTCTAAAGCATGAAACGAGTTCCTTGTTCCTAAAAGTGAGATTATTGTGAGTACTGAGATACTTCACACAGAGACAACTAAATCCTAACAAATTCCATTGCCCGGGTGCCAAGTGCCAAGCCACAGGTAAGCTTATAAAGCACATGAAACAAAATTCAGAAATTTCAAAAGAAAGAAAGAAAGAAAGAAAAAGAGATCAATATATAGTATAATGAGATTAAACTCACAATAAATTTACATGATTATCCTAATGATCTAATTAAAGAAGTGCAGAATGGCGATTAAAAAAGTAGATACATAAATGCTGAAGATCTTCCATCTTCAATCAGTTGCAGGGCTTGTGCATGGTAGTCTAAACTTTTGTAACTTGCAATGATTCCTCATTATCTTCGTTACTATAGGTATCAACATCGGCAGAACTATGGATAGAATAGTGAAACAGAGTGTGATGCCCTTATCTGGTGATATTGCAGCCATAGAAGTATCATAAGTTACCAAAAGCGCAAAAAGAGAGACTTGCAACTCCATTTGTAAGGGAAATCCAGCAATGAGAACGATTATCATGTAAGTGGACATAAAAAATCCAATTGAATTAAAAATCAGAAAAAGACCATAAGAAATATTATTGTGAGTGCCCATTACTGCTTCTCCAGCTTTGTGGGGTTTGGTGGATGTGTCGTTTGTGCCTGTACCTTGACTAGGCAAAGAGTCGTCTTGCCAAACGCCACCGGGTGGACTAAGCACAGCTTGATATGTTGCTGTTGCAATTAACACAGCTAACACAAGCAATGTGTTTCGCACTTCATTTGGAGAATCTCTACGCTTGTCAAACTTGAAATAGTGTAGCAACTTCTCTGAGGGAGCTTGAGCACGCACTCTCCTTGACTGGAAAGGTGATGGACTCTGAGTTGTGACGACCAAATTGTCAGATAATGCTCCATTTTGAGGTGACTGCAAGTCTGCTGCCGCTCTAGCCCCAGCTGCTTTGAGCATATCCTCTATTTCTCTATCACCCCCTTCAGACAGTAAGCTATCAATAGGCGTATAACCCCTCTTGTTCAACGAGTTGACCTCCACTCTGCCCTCATGAAAAACATTTTTGTCGAGCATGAAATCGATTACCTGCTAACATAGTGTAATTTCAGTTACTGAACTTTAAAACATCACGAGACAATGAACAAATATTCAACGCGTTTGCGACTCACCTCATACTGCTTTCTCGAGACAGCAAGATGCAAAATGGTGTCACCCTGATGGTCCTTCTTATTCAAGATCTCCCAATTGTTTGACCGTATCAGGTACTGTACCAAGAATTCAAAGGCTTCGAATTGGTTGTTCTTTAAAGCCAAATGAAGGATTGTCTCACCTCTTCCAGTCACATACCCAACTGACTCGGAGCAAGCAGAAAGCAGTTCGTCGATGACATGAATCCTGCCTTTAATAGCAGCATAATGAAGCGG